TCAGTAAGTGACCTTTATTTCCTCTTAACCCCTTAAACCCCAAGGGTCTGTAAGTGGACACATAATTCAGTTCCTCACTCTAAAACTACATAACTTATATAATCACTTGAAAGTAATTACCAAAAAAACTCACAATAGTCACTAAACAAATGAATAATACATCTAGAGTCAAAGGGATTAACTACCGAGTTAAATTCCTAAATTACAGAGGTTGGAAAATGGTCATGTAAAAATGAATTATGACTTGGCTAATTTCACATATTTTTCAAAGCAGCAACGGGCTGCAGCCATTATATGGTACAGCTAGACTAATGACAGCTGACATACTGGCTGGCAAATGCACCGATCAGTGGGCTAGCCTCACTTTTAAGCAAACTTAAAGTCAATAATGTCATGGTCATATTTTCATATTTTTAACTGTTTTTCAGCTGCTTCTATCCAGAAGATCTGTGGTAGACACGGGGAGGTCAAAATGACCATAAATTCTGTTGTTAAAACCAACAGCTGTTAACAGGAAAATCATAAATGTTTTGGCTTTTTCCAATCATTTTACAAAAGGTATCAAGTTCAGTTTGTATGTCATGCATTATTTTTTTAAAAAACAAATAACTAACTGCACACTAAGCAAAATTTATTCTGACATAACATTTTCAAACAACTGAAGATATCCTGCACAATAAACACGATCATTTGGACAGCGAAAATGCAACCACCCCCTTTTTTTTAATTTTTGCAAACTTTGAACTCACTGACCAATCACAGTTGTCTCTGGCATTGTTATAGCCTACCCAAGGTCAAAATTTTTGTGATCAATTTTTTATTGATTTTTGGCAAAAATCAAGCATCAAGAATTATTACTCATTAAAAACAAATACAAATAGGCAAATATAGCTATTGTCACACTAACTGAGAAAGACAAAAAGAAGTATACAGGGCTGGTCATTAAGGGCAGCTGTTTTTATTAGGCTAAAATTAAGTTCTTAAGAGCCAATGCAACCACATTATATCATAATAAAACAACAACCACTGTCGCAACAGTTGTATAATTGGATTAACCAATTATGATCAGTAGCCTTTTCAACAACAGAGGTGTCTTAGATGTAATGCAAGAAATTGTCTGAATGTTTCACCACTTTTGTGTTGTTTATTCACGTTGTGTTTGGTGAACACACTCACCCCTCAGGTGATGAACATACAAGCATTCTAAAGTTTGGCATTATAGCTTTAGTCATGAATACTAGTGAATCTCTGCTTAATACACCTGTGGCATTATTTCTTGTTTAGATGACATTACCTCAAAAACCTATAGGCCAACATTTCAATAGCCTGTCACTTAAAAAAATGAAATCACTCTGTTGTTGGTTTTGAACAGTTTTCTCTCATTTATATTACTTAACAAAGGCATGTGAGTCAGTGAAACTGAGTCAGTCAATGAAACTGAGCTGTCCAATTTACTTCATACATGTTTGTAAGTTCAACGCAGTCTAGCTTACTGGTAAAACTCAACATCCTTCCCAATGGCTCCTGGCAACATATATTTGCATATTGCTCTACTTGTTTCACTCACCCTCTTCGTATCTCTCCCTCTGGCCTACCTTTCGTTTAGTGTGTATATTGCTTAGTCTCCGAGGTTGACTAATTAGCCACTTCACTGGCTGTAAGTGCAAGTTACCATGTAACTTACTGCTGAGCATAATTCTACTACAGCTCAGTAGCACAGAAATAACTTGACAAAGTTATGTAGCTCTGCCTTAAGCTTATTAACTTCATGTTCTATTCTGATTTACTTGAATTTACTGAGTATGTTATTGAAGATATTAAAAGCTACTTAACACACTTACATACCACTTGACATACCATTAAGTAAATCCAATATTTGTTTTTTGAGTAATACATAAAATAATAGAATTTAATCAAATCACTTTAGGGTGATTTACATATTGATGTAAATATTACTTACAGACAGCTGTAAGTAATATTTATTCAGCATATCGAAAACATCAAAGGACCTTTTCTTGATGCTTTAAAATGTACTCCAGTTAATAGGTCCTCTGTAAAGGAACCCATGCTTATACAACATGGTCCCTCCCCTGAACTGTCAATATGCTTATCAATATGACTGCATTACTGAATCTCTTTAAAGGTGTAGGATGGAATGACTGTTGCCATTATTTCTCGCATTTACATCTTTGAAACCTTGCAGCTTGTGATGAAATCAATTTTCTCCTTGACTGCCTCAGCTGTATTTGCAGTGCATAATCCCTCCCACAGTCCCGTGAGCCTGTCAGGTGCTCGCTCGCAGAAACCAACAGCTCTGATTTTTGGTTTTCACACATGCACACATCAGCAGCAAACGAGCATTCTGACAGGCCGCACTGGTACATAACCACAAGCCTCTACATGATGAGTTCTACATGTAGGGCCCTGAAATGACTCTGCCAATAACAGGAGCTCAGTGTGTGATGAGTGGATGTCCTTGTTAGGCTCTAATTCACACCACTCATTCTCTTCATTGTCTCATTGGGCTAGTACTTAGTGCTTGATGTTCCGGAAGCAGTCTCTAGCTGCTCATTTGTTGATTTGCAGAAAGCCTCCAGTGACTCCTATTCCTTTTAGCAACAATGATTTCAAAGTTATGATGCTGAGTAAATGTTTGTGTAAGAGGTTTTGAAATTTATATAATCACATTTCTTGGCCATAAATCCCTCCAGGCAAAATTTCAAGCAATGAGTAGCCTAAAAGCTGCGCAAAGAAGAAAGTATACAACTGAGAACTGATTTTGTAATCACTGGTGTTCTGAACAGCTGATTGTAGCTGTTGGTCTGCCTGTACCTGATGCTTTGTGGGGTCAGAAACTGGGGAATACTGATTTTCTGTCTTGAAAATTGCACCTGAACAGCCAACTAAGTCATATTCTGCTTTCAGGTTCAGGTCAGGCTGTAGACTTTGCCAAAGAGGAACAAATTTATCCAACATGCATGTTCATGCAGTTTATGAGGGAGGTAAATAAGCCATGGATAATATGAAATGGCTGTAGTTCTTAGCTAGCTGGCATCTGTCATTTCTGAGGAAATACAATATACAATGGGTTAATAAGATGTGTTTAAAATGTATCCAACCATTACCATTTATTACATTTGCACAGTATTATTTGTTTACTTCATGTTGGTGTACTGTTCACTACCTTCCTCTGCCATGATGAAAAGGGAAGTGACGGCCAATTTGAGCCACACTGAAAATTTTGATATACCTGACTTCATTACTTGACATTCACATTGTGGGAACCATGTTTTTCCGTTAAACCCAAGACCTCCTGAAAGAAGAGAATTGCCTTCTCAGCTTGACCCCAGGCTGTTTTAGCTGTATAAAAACTAAGACATATCAACATTTTACACACATTTTTTTTTGGTTGATTTGGATGATATTTACTGTTAACCATTCCTGTAGAAAACCATACCTGTAGCAATGCATGAACCACTGAGAGATCACACAAAATGGGGGGAGAGGGGTTGGGGGGGGCTTAATTTCCACCAGAGCTTTGACATTTCCTGGAGGTCTAAATTGCTGGGGTCAAACTGACTCCAAAGATAAATGATGTTAGTAAATCTGAAGATAACATGAGGGTTAAAATGGTAAAGAAAAAGCAGGAGACACATTCTCCAGACCTTCACGCTTTCTCATTAACTAGTTAACCAGCGGGTATGAGCAACCTTCTGATGATCACCCAAATACAACATTACTCCTTCATAAGTTGGATCACGTACCTTGAGACTGAGCAAAGCAGTGAGCCCCAAGCCAGGAGATGAGAAACTCTCTTCTATAACGTAAATGAATTACCAGTGTTTACAAAATTCAGAGCCAGAAATTGTATACCTCATACCTCTGGCCTACACGGCGCCGGGCTACAGGCCAACGTCAATATCAATACAAATCAAAAGAAAGAGGTCTGCCTTGCACTTTGATAATTACAAACTGAGTATTTGTGAGACTGCTGAACCATTTAACGAGTTCAGTCCCCCTACCACACCTCCCATTCAACCCATGCACTAATTACATAGATTCAACCTGGCAATTACAGAGGCGAGGAAACCACTCCCTCTAGCGGACACGGCTGGAAATGCAAGGTTAAGTAAGTCCATTGGTCAACAGGCTACGGCGTCCACGACACTAAAAAAATAATAATAAACACATGACTATGAAATCACCTTCTATCCCACAACAGCAGGCTCCAGAGCACCGCGGCCGACTACGGCTGTAGTGCAACTGAACGGGCTGGTAAACGCAGCCAATGACGACTGCACAAAATCCAGCCTCAGAAAAGCGAAGAAGGGCAGAACAGGCACTGATTTAAAGACAACATCTGAGGAGAACAGGCTCTGGAGCGGGAGAACAGCAGTGTGCAGGCAGTAGTAAATAGGAGCAGGCAGACAATGGCATGTCCCCCAGTCAGCTGCGGGCTTTAACGTGATGATGCACGCCCCTTTTCAGCACTAACTGGATTTTCAGATGTGGCTCCTCACTGGACAGACAGTCTTCCATCACGGCTGCCTCTCCGCTGCATTTCACGTTGACATATTCGTGCGGTGCATTTCGCCAAACAGGGCGACGACTGCAATCGATCGGTTCTTAAATGGTTCAAACGGCACCTAAAATGCTCTTAGAGGCTCATTTGTCCTCAGTGGAGAAAGGTGTGGGAGAGGTGGGCTACTACAGCCGATGTGTGCACGCTGCAACACGCCTTGTGTCTGGCCGTCGCTCACTCACGGCCTCGCGCGGAGAGAGAAAACACCGACGGCTCGTGCACACTGTAGTGCTGCAACCCGCGACAGACAGACGGCAACCGAGCGCCTTTCAGAGAGGAATAAATACACCACGCTGACACCGTCTGCTCACGTTTTCGCCCAGAGGAACAGCCCAAAATCAGCCCCGCTTAGCGCCGCTGCTCAGAGAGGGAGAGAGAGGGAGAGGGAGAGGAGGGAAAACGCCGCACTTCGACTCACCTTGAGCTGTCGTTCCTCGGGTGCTGAATACACTTGCTATCAAAGTGGCCACATACCAAATCATAGTACTGTTGCCGACCAGAGATAACGGCTCAACGTGCCCCTTTCAGCGATGTGCTCATATTCGTCCTCCTCGGCATTCACGTCCTCTGCTCTATCCTCTTCGCTCCCTTCATGCCTCCCCTGCCCGTCCGTCCTAATGGCATCCTCCCCCCGACACACACGCGCGCGCGCACACACACACCGAGCACCTGCGAACACCAGCAGCTCTCGGCGGAAGACTGGCGATGTCCGACTCGTGAACGAATCGTTCTTTTGAACCGGGTTTTTTCAACAAGCCAGACGAACCGATTCAGTTCAACGGGATCTTTTTTTTTTTTTAGCATCTGCAGTTCCACTCCTGGAGGGTCCGAGTCCGGCACGATTTGGTGGCTTAATTCCTTCTTCAAATACATGATATATGATTCAAATACATGATGCAACTGATAACTTTACCTGGTGTTTGAACAGGGAAACCATCAATGCACTGGAATGACCCCTGACCTAACATGTCCATATATATATATATATATATATATATATATATATATATAATTAGGCCTCGTATAATTACGGAGCAGTAACATCCTAAAAAAACATCTTTTAATTTTGTAAGCATTTAGTTTCTCTGTTTTCTGACATTTACTTAATATTTAACTTCAGAAAATTATAACATGTATTATTAACAAACTATTTAATCTCATTTATTTATTCATTCATTCATCCATTCATTTATTCATTCATTCACTGGGCTTGTAGACTGTCTTCTTACTGTTATGTTTGTGCATAAAGAGTGTTGACTCCCTTAAGTAGAACTGGCGACTCGTTGAACCGAATCTCATTGTACATGAAGGAGAAGCCAACGATGAAACTGACTAAACTTGGGAATCATTGAATGTGACGCTCGGTTCATTGAATCGAACACTTCGAAAGAGTCGGTTCGATAAACGGAATCGAACTTCCCATCACGAGAAACGAAATCCAGTGCGGGAATTCGGAAGCTGACTCCGCCCCCGTGCCGCTCTCCGATTGGCCGCTCGGCCGTGCCGGAGCGTGTCTTGGCTTCCCCCTTTTGGTAGTAAAATGGCGTGGCGGCGGCTCGTGGTCAAGGTGAGTTGGAGCGTGCTGTGCTGGTGGAGTACAACCGCAGTATCATGCGCACTGCCGGAGCCGTCAGACGGCGTTCCCTGCCTTCCCGTCGTGTCTCTGTTCGGAATGGAGCCTACCTTACCTCACAGTTTCATTTCAGTTTACCTGATAAATTCACTGCAGGGCTTGTTAGTACGTGGAGCTCGTATCGATAGGAAACTTCAGATGTGTAGTCAGCTCCAGCGCTACACACACGCGGCTTTCAGGGTGTGGCGACATCCCTCAGCAGCAGGGACACAGTTCCACAGTCACTGTAGGTTCCCTTTTTTGGCAGCATTTTGCACTGATGCTCTGTAGGCACTGGCCATACATCCCACATAGGAGTCCAGTTCTCTCTGAGTCACTGAAGGTACAGCACACCTCGCCACTGCCATGATCTTGAAGATACTGGCTTAGCTTAGTTATATTCCTTTTAGTATTGACTGAAGCCTGAGTGCCTCATTCCCTGACACAGTTGTCCTTTGTGCTGTGCTGGTTCCACAGGGAAAGCAGGAAGATTCCCATGAGAAAGCAATTATCAAGCATAATGATTGCGTGGAAATAAACAATGGGCAGTTGTACACTGCACTCTGTGCTTTTGTTTTGACTGGCACTGTTTTCATGAGGGAATTCACAGCTCAGCATAATGTGATCTACACATCAAGTTAATCATTTCTAATGGGAGATGATTAGTCCACAGTATCGCTGCTACAAATAGCTATGGAAAATAGGTGAGATTTGGTTTATGCTACTTGTAAGAACAGCATAATATATCATGCTTTTATGGATGATAATGTATGTTTAATAACACTAATAATATAGAGGCTGTTTACATCTTGCACCAGCATGAGTTTTTCTGTGATCGAATCATATTCGGATTTCACCTGACCGGATGAAAAGCCAGGTGTAAACACACCGGGGACGCTTGGTGACCAGATTCTGAGGTGTCAAATCGAAATACAGATTTTGACCACATTTAACAACGTAAATGTAATGCGTTTTTGCATAAAATTGTGGAAGTGGGAATGCATTGATTATGTAAGTAATTACAGCAGCTGCCAGATAAAGCCTTGTCCTCATCTGATGCAGATGATTTGTTGCCTGTTTTAACCATTTTCTTCCTATATTTGAGAGTGTATAATATACTGAATGTGACAGGTGAGAAATGTGTTGATGTGCTTTTTATGTGGGCAAATAAAATCAGATCTGATCTTACATTTTAGTGAAAGTGTGAAATTCGGCCAAACATATCCAGGTACGACCCAGGTACGACATAAAAAAGCAAGGTGTAAAGAAGCTCATAGTCTTGTCTGTGTCTGCTGGATGTACAGGAACACTGCAGTGAAACACAAGTGACTGATTTTGCTCTAGCAAATCAAGTAATTGCTGGGACGTGAGGAGGATTCATTTGCTGCATGCATCCAATCACAGCTGCTCCACTCAGTTCCACTGTGGAGCTGCACCAAATCCAGATGGAATTGGATATAGACCTACTTATAGCCCCCTTGTACTCCTATAAGCACACCTTTATATAGAGCTGTGACAGTGGCCTCCCTGTCAGGCCGCTAATAATCTCCTACAAAACACATTCACACAAATGCGCTCGCATGTCAATTAGAATGACCGTCTTCAAACAGAATGTGGACTGGTGTCATAAGCGGAGCCAAATATTCACACAATGGGAGAGCTGATAAAATCCGACCTCACAGAGGCCTCATTGAGGCCCGAGCATAATTACATAGTTATCCAGTCCCTTGGGTTTGGACTGATTCCATATCCATTTAGTCCAGGGTAGCTTGGCATGGCAGCCCTGCTCTGGTGCTGGCGTTTTGGAAGGCGAATGTAGGCCAGTCAGTCAGCGTGAACTGCTGGGTTAATTCGTTTCAGTTTATGGGTGTCGTAATATTCCCATTTCATAACAGACGCTGAGATCTTGGGGATTTATATGTGAAGTGTAACCTCAATTATTGAAGTTCATCACTACCTTCAAAATTAACTCAGAGTGTGTTTTATGGGTAAAAAACAGTTTGAGTCAGTAAAATTTTAAAATTCAAAATGTAATCAGTATTTAAATCCCTTTTCATGAAAAAATGTATTTCTTCACTTTTTTACATTAGAGTTTGATAATAAACACTGTTAATTCATAGCGTACCAACATACCATTCAAACTGATGATTCCATTTTCAGTTTGTACAATGAAACTAAGGTGCCCAGTTTTGAGTTAATTGTATTTGTATTGTCACAAAAACCCAAACCATTCACAAATATTTACCTATTTAGACTACAGCAGTTTAACCCCGCCCTTTTACGCTGAAGTTATAAGGAGTGTTTCAGCCTGGAGTTTTTTTAAAAAGAGCACAAAACAGGGCCAATCAGAACAGGTCATTTGCATAAAGGCCTTGTAACAAAGACATTTAATTATATAGCCCACACAAACCTTCACAAAAAGTGAATCTCAAGAGGAAAATAAAAGACGAAAAATGTATGTTGTGAGCCTTTAATGTCATTTTAATGTCAATTTAAAAATATCTATTTAAGGCTTGAGCATGAACGTCAACTAAAGAGTATTTTTATTGACAGATTCGCAGTTTCTTTCTGGTACGTGTGCAATAATGATATCAAAGTCCAAACCACATGTCATACAGCAAAAATGTCATACAGCCCTGAAGCAGTTAAAACTCCCACTTGGCGCGTCTGTGGGTCGTAGCGTGAAACAGAGTTTGATGGGTGGATTCCATTCATTGAACTGCCGCATTGAGGATGGGGTGCAAGGTCATTTCCCTCCATAGGCACTTTCCCCCTCCAAAGCACAGCGCAAGTTCAGAAGTGCTGACACATCACCTCCTGACCAGAGACCAGAGCAACTCTCCTGACCCTCTGGGGAAACAATCTCTGATAAATGGAAGCCTGCTTTTCCTTGTACGCAAGTGTGCTGTAATGGCATTACACCCTGTTTCATGGGCCAGGAGTAACAGACTGCTTGTTGTCTTACAGTCCTTGGCCAAGTTGTAGCTAGCTGTTTTGTTTTATATCTACAGAGTAAGTGATGCTGTTCAAATTAGTTAGCGGTTTGTGTAAAAATCGCTAGATCTATATTTAACATGATAGCTAGCCTAGCCTTTAAATTAAATTGTGGTTAAATAAACATTCTGTTTGTCACCCTAAAGCCCATTAAAATGCAATATGAAATAATCCACATCGCTGTTGTCAGAAGAAAACCTTGTATCTCCAAAATGGCAACTTTACAGGAGAAAGAAAAAAACTACTTTACTTTTAATGTAAGTCAGTGGAACCAGACGTGGTTTAACTTGGGCGTGCTGAAATTTTAAGCAGCATTCAGTCATTTGCAAAAGTTTGAACATTTTAAATTTTTATTGATTTTAATTTTTTTACATCATTTGAACACATCAGCTCTGCTTTACGTTGGGTGAAAATTTCATAATGAATGGACCAATAGAAATGCTCCAAAAATGCTTGGAATAAAATCTCTTTACCTTAACTTAGTAAAGTAAAGAACATTTTTGCCCTCTCCTGTAAAGTTTCTATTTTTTCTGTTTTTCTTTGGACAGCAATGGTACCGTCTACAGCATATTTTAATGCACAATTTATTTGCCGAGTTTAATTTTTTTTATGCAATTTGCTGAGAAAAACATAAAATATAAAATGCCATAAAATGCCATAACTATTGCACAGGCATATATATATATATGTAAAAATAATATGCCAATCTATTCAGCTAACGTTTATCAAATACAATGTGTAATAATGGTCTATAATGTGGCAAGAAATGATAACATACACACATAACAATCAGGTGGTTCATATGTGGCGCAGTAACTGATTGCGTCATGTCAATAACTAAGCTACACACTGAGATTTAATACTTAAAGGCACACCAAACTGGAGATATAATAGTTGGAAAAAAAACTTGTGTTTAAAATGTGGGACGTTATCATGTTTACAATATTAGACCACTAAACTTGCTTGTGTTAAGCGACACGCCCCCAATGCGGTTAACTGTTAGTGAGTGAAGTGATGGACTCACTTAATGAAAATGTAGTGTTAACAAA